TAGGGTAGGCCACAGGGTGGACCATGGCCCTGGCCATGGCCTAGCCCAGGTTTTGTACACACCCATAGGCCACACCCAGTGAGCCACAATTGCAAGTTGCATGACCCCATAAGCAGTCATAAGCTACTGGCGTGGGTTGTTCGAAAGGTGGATAACGCCATCCACTGGATAAATCACTATCCAGCAGATAGCGTGGCTTGGTTTGTTAACACTTATCCATTGGACAGCGATTCACCTCTGAGCTTTAATTTTAATGGTGCTAAATAAAGGTTGTCTGTCTGTCTGTCTGTCTGCCTGCTTGTCTGTCTATATATGTCTATGAATAATTTTGAACTGTGTGAATAAATTGAATAGAGAACTTTTGAATGTATTTGTTTGGTCTTTTCATAAATAAAGTAGCCTTGAGTTGTCTGGAAACCAGCTTAATATTGGCTAAAAATCACAAACCTTGAATCAAGTAACTTCTGGCATCGTTCAAGTTGAGCCGCAAAGTCAGTCTTCCTATTCACGTAAATGTCATTTCGACGTTTTTGCCCTTTCTGAGGGGGTCTCCTTTTACCCACATCTACATAAATTTACACAAAGCAAGCATTTACGCCTTTGAAGCCAAGAAAATCTGATAAAATATCAGAATTTGATACTTACTTCCACGATAACCGTCCGCCATTTTGGTCCATGGGGTAAGCCGCTGCGCATTGAAAAGCAGGCGCATGCCCATGAATCGTCCTTTTGGACTCCATCTTGAATTGTGTGGAAGGTATGTTGAACTACGAAAGAAAATCCTTGTATATCTCAGGCATCCTTCACAATTTTCTTTAATTAATTGTCACATATGAACGATATTATATACTTTCAGTGAGTTATGTTTGAAAATCTTTTTTTTTTTAAGTCGTTAGTAAATTTAGTAACGAAGTCTTTCTGTCATGCCCTAGGTACCTCTGATCTTTCCATCACATTCATTCCACAATGGTAAGCTGTTGTGTTTAAAGTTTAAATGTTTTGTCTTTAACCTTTCTTGGTTCAAATTTAGCTAAGAAACTCGATGGATTGAGCTCACTCGAGTAGTTATTGAAGATCAAACAATTTTTTGAAATCAATCCACGATTTATCTTGTTGCAGCCTAAGCAGATTCACGAAATCAAAGATTTTCTCCTTACCGCTCGAAGGAAGGATGCCAAATGTAAGTGACGATCTTCTTGCTCACGTACTAATAAGAAAGGGCTGCTGTTTTTAGTCTAGTATTTTAAATGATTTGCAGCATATTGCTCGCTCTAGATATATATACAAAGCTGTGAAAGTTAGCTACAAGCCAAAGTGTTTGGAGACTTAACTTTTATCTGGTCATGGATATCAAAATTGCAAACTTTGTTCACTGTGTCTAGATGTCCGGCAGCCGGACAGCATTCAGCATTTTGAAAATGCTCCCTGTCTGTCAGTCAGAAAATTGTCCATTTACAACTAAATATTTATTTCTTTACCAATACAATTGTTGAGAGCTGACAATAAACAGACTAACTGGTGCGCAATTCATGCAGCAGGCTAGGCTAACCATAGCAATTTTTGGGCTAAACAAGGTGTTTTTTCAGGCCAGCTGGACACAGAGTATTCTTTAGATGAAGTGTAATAATCCTTGTCCAGTTAGCCCTTAAAGCACTGTGGTTACCCTTAAATGTAGACAGGTTAGCTTAGAATGTGTGCTTAGTCCTCAATAATTGAGGTAAAAGGAAAATAAAGTTTCAGACTGCCAGACACCAAGTATTTTCAAAATGCTGTC